GACTACACACCTAAGTCTTAACTATATACCAAAACTGGAAACATTTTTCTTCTAGCCCGAAAATTCAGTAGTCACTGTAACCAACTGAAATTAGTGTTTTGTGGCCTTAATAGTTTATACAGTTTAATATATTTGAAGGTGTGATGAAGTGGCTCCATCTTTCCATTTGTTTATACGGTCTGAAATTACAGTTCTGCACAGTGGACATGTTTTCTCTCTGTTAAACCATAAGGTAATGCACTCGTCACAAAATATATGCTGTAAGAGAATTAAGAACTAGATTTTATCCTTGATAAACATTTTAAATTCATGACATTGCAGGGAACGAAAGGAATTTTGGAGAGCACTAATCCTCTCATTTTATAAATAAGAAAATGGGAGAAAGTATGACACATTCAAGACAACAAAGAGTGGTGGTAGTACAGTCAGGAGAGGACTAGTGGCTTTACCACTATCTATCTATTTAACCATTTTTAACAAAATAGAAGCTATCCCTAGGTCATACCCTTTAGGTATGATAACAGCTGAATAAAGTCTTTGACTTACCAGTAACTACCATAAAGTAACATAATCCAATAACAAATGTTGGTATTATTCCAAAAGACTAGTATCCAATTATAAAAATAGCCTGTTTTCCAATCACTTTGGTATTCAATCTGTCAGTTGAATATTTTTTCCCCCTTCATACACTCCTCTTTATAAAAATCATCAGAACTTAAGGGACAAGATTTAGCCAGTCTACCAGACCCCTAATCATGAAAAATTAATATGTACCCTGAATGATGCCTTCTCTAAACATTGTAGGTTTTTATACTCTTAAAATAAACATAAATGTGACTTTTGCAAGTCACAGAGAAGTGTTGTATGTAGGTTGTTTAAAAATATAATTACCTGACAGATGAGAAGAATTGGCTTCTGAAATTCAGCTTGACATATTGAACAAATATCATCCACATCTGAACACTGTCTCTTGCTGGCAGCTACTCCATAACTCTATGAAGATAATAAGTTCTGTTCAGCTATAAATTTCTTTCCTGTTCCTCAAATACATCGGTGATGCTGTACTTCTCAAATCTCCCTGGAACCAGGCATTTGAAAACTTTCCCAAAGGATACAAACATTTCAAAGCTGAACCACATATGGACAACCACATCTTGACTAAACCAAGATGAAATCATTAAATATAATAATACATAATAGGATCTTGGAAGATTGTTAGATCCACTGGATTTCCAAAAGATGACAGTGCTTCAAATTCAATACAACTGGCTTAAGAGACAAGCAATCTAAAATACAGGACTGCCAAATTGAGCCCACTTACCTATGGAAATGGTTCGTAAAGGCAATTCAGAGGTTGGCTGGCTGAATGTAACTCAGATGGAACGCTTGCTTTAAAAATAGATCTCTAGGCTAGGTGTGGTAGCTCATGCCTGTAATCCCAGCACTTTGGGAGGCCAAGGTGAGAGGATCACTTGAGCCCAGGAGTTTGAGACCAACCTGAGCAACATAGTGAGACCCATCTCTACAAAAAATTTTTAGAAATTAGCCAGGTGTGGTGGCATGCTCCTGCAGTCCAAGCTACTGGGGAGCCTGAGGTAAGAGAAGCACTTGAGCCCAGTTCAAGGCTGCAGTGAGCTATGATTGTTCCACTGCACTCTAGCCTGGGCAATAGAGCAAGACCCTGTTTCTAAAAAATAAATAGATTTCTGTGTTCCATACTGGATATTGATTCAGTGGGTCCAGACATACTGCGATGTGACGTAGGAATCTGTATTTTTTAAAAGGTTTCCAAATGAATTCAATATGAGGAAGACTTGGAGACCAGTGAACAATGTTCTGCCACTAAATCTAAAAATAATTTTAATTATTGTCTCTAATAATAAAACATTAGAGCATTCAGTACTAAGAAAGAATGACGAAATTTTACAAAGAAACTGCAATAATGTCAGATGGTAGAATAACTGTCAAAACTAAGCAAAAATGGAATTCTTTGAACTTCCTTTTCTTCTAATGTCCTAAAAAAATTTCTGATCTGTTTAAGATCTTAACTTCCTCACCAAATTCAGTGGAACTCAGTCATTAACTAGACATGAGAGTTAAGAACCCTCAGTGAAATTTGGAAGAATCAAACTGTTACAAATGAGAACAGCTGTCTATAGAAATTATAGGAAAAAGAGATACAAGAACATCCAGCTTCAGTCATGACTTATCTCAACATATGTGAAGTTATGATGTAAACTTCTTATACTGAATGTCTAGGGATAAAAAAATTAAACTAAAACTCAAAGGATAAAAATACTAAAAATTAAGAGTTTTTGAGACTAGTGATATTAAAGATTCCAAAAACAAGTCAGGATACTGTTAGATGATCTTGCTGCCATTTCCTTCAGTAAAGTGTCACTTAGCAGAGTACACTGCAGATATTTATGCTGACAAGCTTTTAAAACATCACTTCGTTTTGCAGACTCCCTCCAGGTGAAGACTTATCCTGATGTTGACTGCCATTTCCCTGGTAAAGTTAAAGAACATGTAGGTACATGTTCAGGATATCTCAGGGAAACTCAGGAATAAATCAGAGAGTTGATAACTGATCGTCTCTATACTTCTTTTGTCTCAGAGAAAGAATATCAGGGTATTTTATTGAGTGTCCTTCAGCACAAATCTTACTAGATCAATTATAGTAAAATGGTTGACATTCACATAATCATCAATTGAATTAACCTGGACAAAACTGAACTCTCAATTTTACTGTATCTTGTCTAAAGAAAGAAGTCTGCATAGGATGCAGCAAAACTTGTTTCTACTTTGCTAACTCTTCAAGGTGCCTGGCCAGTTAGTCTGGTCTACTTTATGACATAATCCATTTATGTAGGTATGTATATATGTATGTATGTATGTATCAATGACAGTCTTGCACTTCTTGCCTGGGCTAGAGTGCAGCGGTATCACCGTAGCTCACTGCAACCTCAAACTCCTGGGCTCAAGCAATCCTCCTGCCTCAGTCTCCCAAGTAGCTGAGACTATAGGTGCACAGCATGACCCCTGGATGATTTTTCTTTCTTTTTCTTTTTTTTTTTTTTTGAGACAGAGTCTCACTCTGTTGCCTGGGCTAGAGTGCCGTGGCGTCAGCCTAGCTCACAGCAACCTCAAACTCCTGGGCTCAAGCGATCCTCCTGCCTCAGCCTCGTGAGTAGCTGGGACTACAGGCATGTGCCACCATGCCCGGCTAATTTTTTTTTTTAATATATATATATATCTTTAGTTGTCCAGCTAAATTTTTCTATTTTTTAGTAGAGACAGGCTCTTGCTCTTGCTCAGGCTGGTCTCCAACTCCTGAGCTCAAACGATCCATCTGCCTCAGCCTCTCAGAGTGCTAGGATTACAGGCATGAGCCACCGCACCCAGCTGATTTTTCTATTTTTAGTAGAGATGGGAGTCTCCCTCTTGCTCAGGCTAGTCTTGAACTCCTCAGTTCAAGCGATCATCCTGCCTCGGCCTTCCAGAGTGCTAGGATTATAGGCACGCGCAACCGCGCCTGGCTTGTTTTTCTAATTTTAGTAGAGACAAGGTCTCGCTGTTGCTCAGGCTAGTATCAAACTCCTGAGCTCAAGCAATCCTCCGGCCTTCCAGAGTGCTAGGATTACAGGCGTGAGCCACCGTGCCTGGCCACAACAAGATTTTTAAGGAAGTATTTATAAACCTTTAAAAACAAGTGATTTCAAGGGGCAAGAGACACATTAAAAAACATATGCATTGCAACGAGTATAGCAGGTGGCTGTCAATGTGCAATATAAGAAACTGATTATAGAGATACACCTCCTAAACCATTATTGCCCCAAGTGCCGAAGTACTAGAAAATAATCTCAAAGTAAAAGGAAAGGATCATCTCATTATGAAATCCATACTTGTAAAACTGCTAAACTAAAAAAATTTTATAATTAGGTAAAAGTATTTTTCCTTAACTGATAAAAAGTACTTACTGGTCGTGTAAAAAATACTCGTAAAACCTGTCTGAAAGTTCTCAGATGTCCAAAAAAGTCCAAAAGCTGGAAGAGAAAATGAGAGAATTTATTAATTCAAAGAGTACTATTTGCTAAACCCAAAAATCAAAGCTGAAATCCCATAAAATCAAATTCTCATATTAACTTAATGCTCAGTATATATTACAACTAATCATTTCATTCTAAATATATTTAAAGTCTAATTGCTGGATATTTTACTCCATTTATAGACTTGAGCCAACTCTTACCAAGCTGAAGTACATTTAAATATCTAGAGTAACAATTTGATCAAAACAAATATAAACTATGTCAAGGAGAAAGCAATTTTATATGGTTCATATGATCTTAACATTTAGATTGTAAAGTTCTATACAGTGATTATTGAGTTGAGGGGAGCCTATACGCCACTAGTTTAAGAATTACGTGTATGACAAATGTCACTGTTGAGGATAAGTATGTTCTATTCCACTTGTTTTTTCCCCCTTACATAATCCAGGGTATGTGGAGGTCCACTCCCCTTCGCACTGTAAAAACTAAGAACCACTGGATTAAGATAAAGATACATATTTCCATTTCTAAATAGATACAGAACTGCCATCACCTCAAACTACTGATGTGAAGATAAACTATAAAACAGTTAAAGACAAAAGTAATTAGGTAAAATCAGTAATCATTATATGAATCATTACACAATGACAAGACTTACAATGTTACCTACTTTTAGTATGAGGTAGAGTAAAGCCAGCAATATCCCAAGACTCCATCTAGTTATGTTACCAAACTCCCCATAGCTTATGAGGTAACGAAACCAAACTGGTATAGGAACAAAAGTTCGGTAATACTGACATAATTCTTCTAAAAGCATATACCAGTAACCCTAGAAAAAGAAGGAAAAAACAAATAGAGCTACCCAAACTACTTAGAACACAGCACAAATACTAAATACGGGACTGAGAATATCGTGAGTATATGACACAATAATACAAATAACTATAAAATTAATCTTTATAGTTGTTATGATCATGACTGACAACCTCAACCTGGTTCTCACATATTCCAGTCACTGGATGATTTGCTTTCAAAGAATCACCAAAGAATGACAGTATAAATATCTGATGTATACTACAAGCAAAACATATGTTTTTGCTGATTATAAAAAACATACAAGATTACTTTTACCGAGTATTTTTTACACGACCAGGTTTTTATTGAGTATGGGAAGCCACTCAATGTATATAGTCAATTAATAATGCCCTGGAGAACAGAAGTACAAACCGAAATAATATTTTCCCGTATATGATGTGGGAGCTGATTTTTTTTTTTTTTATGAGACAGAGTCTCACTGTTGCCCGGGCTAGAGTGCCATGGCATCAGCCTAGCTCACAGCAACCTCAAACTCCTGGGCTCAAGCGATCCTCCTGCCTCAGCCTCCCAAGTAGCTGGGACTACAGGCATGCGCCACCATGCCCAGCTAATTTTTTCTATATATGTATTTTTAGTTGTCCAGATCATTTCTTTCTATTTTTAGTAGAGACGGGGTCTTGCTCTTGCTCAGGCTGGTCTCGAACTCCTGAGCTTGAACGATCCGGCCGCCTCGGCCTCCCACAGTGCTAGGATTACAGGCGTGAGCCACTGCGCCCAGCCTTGATTTTTTGATTATTCTAATTTTATCTGAATAGGTTAATATTTAGGTTCAAGTCCTTGAGCAAATGGTTGCCAGGCTGAGAAATATAGATAATTAAAATTAGGTTATTTAGCAAACTGAAAAATTACAAAAGGAAGAGTCATTTAAACAAAGATTAAATAGCATTAATGTGGTTTGTTAACATCATTCCAATAAAGCGTAAGTTAGTTTCTTACCTTGGATTTAAAAGGCATGATGAAAGAAGGCACCAATAAAATAAGGCATTTTAAGCCCATGAAGAGGAATTTCAGAATGAAGTCTGTAATTCCAACAATCCAAAGTACTTCCCAGAAGTTCAAATAGTCCAAAGTAGGACTTAAAAAAATTAAGCTACCAAGAGAAAAACATCAAAATTTACCAGATTAACATACAAAAGTAAAGTATTGATAAGAGTATTTAATTTGCTACAGATATTTTACTTTGATATGTAAAAAATATGAGTTTGGCAAGACGATGTCAGAGTTCACATAAATGGACTGGAAGATCAATTTGCTTATTTTAAAGAGACTTTTTAAATGTTTAAATTTAAAATGTTTCATTCATAAAATAAAGAAAAAGTGTTCACAGCTTGTCATGGTTGACACCTTTCTAGTCTGTAAACTGAAAAACCCATTAATACCACACATCTGCCTTTCTCTCCTCAACCAACTCCAATTCGGATTCAGTCATCTTCTCCTTTCCACTGAATTGCTTTTGTTAAGATCACCAATTCCCTCTGTACTGCTAAATTTCAAAGTGACTTCTCTTTTTCAATCTTCCCTCCGTGCATTATTTTCTTTCTAGACTTCTAACAACACCACACTTCTTCTAGTTGTTCTCATATGTCACTGATGGTTTCTTCTTAAGTTTCCTTTGCTGCTCCTCCACGACCTGTGGTCACTCCAGTACTGGGCCCTCTTCTTTATTTATATTTCTTTCCCTGTAGTTTTGTCCAGTCCTGTGGTTTTTAAATATCAACCATATGCTGAGGATACCAAAATTTATAGCCCTAGCCTCATCTGAGCTCATGTCACATATCTAGAACCACTTTCTTAACAATTCTACTTGGTCTCTCAAACTCAACATGTTCAAACAAAATTATCGATCCTCCCCTCAAAATCAGTTCCTTTCCCAGTCTTTCCCAGCCCAATAAAATGGCAGCAGCATCCAGCCAGTAGTTAAGACTAAAAATCCAAAGGTCATTCTTGCTTCTTCCCACCTATCCACCCAATCCAATCGACCTGAGTGGTACTGGCTCCACCTCCAATCCATATCTCAGATTTGTCCATATCTCTAACTCCACTGAAACCAATACTTCTAATTATCTGATAAAAGCTGAAAATTCAGAACAATCCTGCCTGACGTGGCAACTTATCAACTATTGACCTTTAGTGAGTGTTCTCCTTCTAAAAACACATTAAAAAAGACCAATAACAACTTAATGGTACTTAATATATGGATTACATAAAAACTTAGGTATCAAAAATTAAATATTGAGCATCTGCTACGTGCCAAAGTACTGAGAATACAGCTGTGAATAAGTCATTTAAAGCTCTGAATCATAAAAGGAGAACAGTAACAACTGAACTCAAATATATTTCATGAAGATATATGCAAAGTGCCATGGAATATATGATTACATAAAAAACGTAATTGTGTATTTGGACCTCTAATTACCTGTAATAAAGTGACTGAGAACGAAAGGTATAATATAAAAGAACAGAAGATCCTGATAAGAATACCAGTAACCAAGCACACTGAATCTTTGAGGACCTTTCCTGGAAAATAAACAATTTTATAATGTTACTTTGATTCTGCCAGAATTTTAAATGTTGAACTGTTTTACTTTAATGACTAATTTATTAACTTAGAACATTTTTCTAGATTAATCTTAATAAAATACAGAATATCTGTTAAATTGTCAATCACACTCAGTTTTAGTCAACAATACTTGTATTAAAGAAAATTTTAAAATACAAGTTTCTTCACTGTACAAAAAACATTACCTATGTTTCAAAGCCAAATCTTCTACAAGCTGAAATAAAGGACCCAGCCAAAGCAAACTTTACCTCTGCAGCTCCCTTTTTTGTGCCTCCCCCACAAAACAGAGTTTTAAAAATGCATTTAATCAAGGTTTATAATATTTTAAATTCTCAGATAACAAGTATTTTATAAGGTAATTTGTTTTTAATCTCACTTCTAAAGTCAAATTTTAAATTACTAGTTTAATTCAAAGTTTTACTAATTTTAAACTATGAATTAAGTTTTTATAGTTTGATACATTCTACTATAAATTTCCAGGTCAGAATGCGTGATCCTTTACACAGATTAGCCCTTTAATGTTGCTTTATGGTGAAAATTTATAAACTCATCTTGTTTGTCCAAATGATTTATATGACTAGGATTCTTGTAATTTATGTTATGGAAAAACTCCTTAGCTTAATTTTAAGAGAAATCTAAACAGTTTAACACTCTTTTTATTCAATGATACATTTTTAGTTATTTTATTTTGTTCGTATTTGCTTTCCCTCGCCACAATCATTAGTTATTTTAAATCTTATAGTGCAACAACTAAAGTTTTAATGATTATATAATATTACTTAGTATGGTCAAATTAACTCATAAAACATGAAGACACTTGCCAAATCAGATCAAATAGATTCTAAACCTTTTAATCCTTCTGTCTACATTTCCTTTATCAGGAACCAAATATACAAAGAAAATAAAGTGAAGCAATTCAGCATTAGGACAGATAATTTATTATGGGTCATTTAGATACCAAATTTAATATATCATGAATGTTACAATATATCCTATTATTTCCTATTTCTCTCAAAATTATTTCTCTAAAATTCTATAGAGAGAAACAGTTAATAATTTTTTAGTTGCTTGTTATACTTACTCTTAGAAAAACCTGATTTACAATGCTTTTGTTTGCATACATAAAAGTTGTTAGCAGCCCAATTCCAAGAGAAATTCCTGTTAGAAAATAAGTTCCAGTTAATTGAAAGAAAAAAAAAATCAAAAAGGATGACATAAGCTAACAATGACACGAATTAAAATGAAACATACAATTTTAAAAGCTAACAGAAAATAAGTAACTGAAACGCATAGATTACCAATAAAGAAATAAAATTAACTGATTCAGCAATTAAACAAGTCAATGTTTTATTATGCCCTACCTGTTATATGCTGCATAACAAGTTTGACACCCAGAATCAAAATATATGGAAGACTTTTTTGCAACCACTTGAAGAGATAGCGGAATTCTGAGAAGGAGCTACTACCATGTTCTCCAGACTCGGTGGCAGTATCATCAGGCTGCCTTCCTTCACTATGGGAGTGACTCCGTAAGCGACTATGTACACATCCATGGGTACAGCTATGGACACCTGACCTTATATTTCTGGAGCTTGGATTTTCAGCACATTCTTTGGGTGTAGGGTTTATCTGGATATGAACATCTCCAGAATGAAGACAAGAACCTTCTCCTGTCAATCTTGTATGGATACACTGGGAGGCTGAGGCATCCTCACTGCCTCTGGGTCCTGGGGGACTGTGCAGCTGGCTACGATTGCCTTGCATGGCTCTTAAATGCTTTTTCTCTGATCCAGATTTCTTTGCTTCAGGGTTCTGTCTCCTAAAAAAAAAAAAAAAAAAATCAAAGAACAGAAAATATTCTAAGTGAACAGTTAAAATACAGGCAGTACATATTGCCCAAGAGGTGTCCTTTTTCACTAAAGGAGTGGCAGATAATCACTGCAGATGGATTTGCAGGTTATCACTTATTACTAGACTCCTCCCTTCTCCCTTAAGGCCAAGGCTCCGCTGCCCTATTCAAATTGTCTTTTAGGGAACATCTGCTACCAAAAAGAGTTGAGTTTCAGATGCCTCCAGTTCTCTAATGGCAGATGGTATTCAGCAAAATAGTAAGAAATAAGGGTGCCCGGCAGATATTAATGAGTTCTAATACTCATACTGGATACTTTGGTACATTTACTTTGCCCAATTGGAGCAGTTTCATCTCTGATGTACATTCTACATCAAAGAAGTTTCATAAAGAAAAAGTGAGTCGGTATTTTTTAATGCTTAGAAATGCTAGGAAGAAAAAACATTACATCTTAATGCCTTAAGTATCATTAGAGATAATAAACATGTCGCCCGCGTGACCTACAAATTTAGTTTTATGCTGAAACAGCTTTCCCAAAGCTCATAAGGTTCCCGTTAATTAATGGTGCTACCAAGAATATTACCTCCCCATCCAAAAGAATGTTACCTAAATACCTTTTTAAAATAGGGATGCTGGGAGCAGTCACCATGTAATTGCTAGGTAACTCAAGAGTCTGAATAAAGGATAGTTACACAGTCTGCCCAGTAAAATGCCACCGTCGGTGCCGAGTGTATTGCGGGGGGAGGGAGGTGTCAGGAACGAGGACGCTGGCAGGGAAGGATCCCTAAGTGATCCAGCGTGGAGTCGGAATCCCAGCTGACGAAACGCAGAGCCTATCCCAAATTGCCGTGCTTTTTCCGTTTCTCTAGGAGGCGGCTCGAGTTAACGTCAGAGCATGTTCTATGTCATTCTATTTCACTCTTAGGATTGATTACTGTTGCATTTACTGTGTGTGGCGGCTTGGGCTTTACTGCTTTTCACTAAAGGCTTTCACCCGGCTCCGACGTCACGGGTGCTATTTATTTCCTCGAACCTCTGAAGAGCGACTTTGAACAAGGCAGTTTCAGCGTCTTTTCTGTAAGTAAAAACACAGAACCCTCCCACTCTCCTTCATGCACAGATCAGAAAGGAGAAAAATAAGTGAACACAAACAACTCTTCCGGAATCCCCGAGGGCAGAGTTCTCCACCCACGTCCGAGCCTCGAGTGCCTCAGTTCTTCTCCCCGCAGCCCCTTCGCCGCGGCCCCTCGCCGCCGCCGCCCCCTCCGCCCGCCTCCCCCAGGCCTGACCTCTCATGACCAGGAGCGGACGGAGGCCTCGGCGGCGACAGCAGAAACAGCAGCACACGCCGGCTCGAGCCCTTCAGTCGAGATCTTCACCCGCAATCCCCGCGACCAGCAACTCCGGCCCGGCGGCTGCGGGGGCGGCAGCGCGCGCGCTCCCCCGACGTCCTCAAGCGCGCGCCCCGCCCGGCGCCGCGTCGTAGCCCCGCACCCCGCCGAGGGGAGGGCGGGCGGCTGCCGGTGTGCGCGCTACGGAAGGAGTGGGCTGCGCCTCGGCACAGGCTGCAGGCGTGGCGCTGAACAATAGGTCGCCGTTCCTATTGCGTATTTATGTGTAGTCCGCCACGCGCCTCCGAGATCCTGGGCGTTTTGACGTTAAAAATGTGGCTCCGGAACCTGCCCTCGGAGAAGGGGCTGAAGTCGGGACTGTCTTAGCCCCGGTCCCCGGTTCGTCCCTCGGGGTCCTCCCGTCCCGGGGCTTCTCGTCTCCCGAGACCGGAGCTGCTGGAGCCGCGTGGGCAGGAGCTGGGTGGGGCGAGAGCGTTGGGGTTTCCGGGTTCGGGTTTCACGAGCTTAACTCTTGACCCGATTGGGGCTGGGTGGTGAAGTTTTCACTGAGCTGGGTTTTCGTTGTAATCGTGAAGTTGCGCTGTGGGGACTAGGCCCTGCCGAAACCTGACGTCAGAAGTGAAGAGAAGTGCGGAAGAGTTTGCGTGCGGGTGGAGGTAGAAGTTAGATTTGAAAAACCCTGTCCTGTGTGGGTATCCGGGACTCTACTGTCCTCGCAGTAATTCTTCTGTTAATCTAAAATTGTTCTAAAATTAAAAGGTGATTAAGGAAAAACAAAACGAAAAAAACCCTGCTTTTTTTGATCCACGGTCTAAATATATTTCAAATGATACAAAATGTATTCTATGCATGTCACCACAACCACCGGTAGCGTTTCCATTATGAACGGCAAGCTGCTTTCTACCTTTTGTTTTTATTGCTTTGTATTTAATAGAGATGGACGTCAAGTAAATGTCTTTCGATAATTCTTGAAATTAAATATTCCATGCAATGTGAACTGAACTAACCTGGGAGAGGGGTTCAGTCTTCCTCAGAGAAGATAAATTTGCATATATACGCAGACATCATGAGTTGAATGTCTAGTGAAAAAGTTGTATTTTGTCTTTTTATTGATGACTACCTGGTTTAAAACTATTAACAGCTACCTTGCCTAAATTAGTTTGCCTAAATTAGTGTGCCTTTTGAGATACCTTAACAATGAAATTGTTTGCACCTTATTTTCTCCTGTATCAGAATACTGTACACTGAATCCAGTGTTGAACCTCACTTCCATTTTGAGGCTGTACTTAAACAGATTAGTTCTATTACCAGATCGCTTCCCTTGGGTGGAAAGGCTTAAAAAAAAATCCAATATGAGTATTAGATCAGCTTTTCACTGTTGATAAAGACATTTGCTTGGGGGGTGGGGTACGGTACACTTAAGTATCTGTGCGCTTGACTAAGACTTCCTGACAAATTAGGTCAGTAAGGCTGAGGGCCAGGCTCTGGACTGGCTGCAGTGAATTTTCCAAGGAGACTTATTTGTATATATTCTACCATTCCTACTATGACATGAATATTTTTATTTTAAACTTTAAAATGTATGAAAATTTAGGAAACAAAAAAAAGAACCTGGGAAAATTCAGCTGCAGCCACAATGGAGCCACCAGTATGTTTTGGGACGTTTGTAAATTTAGTATGCCTAATGTTTAAATTCTCTTTAACATATTCATAACACTGAAAGTGCATATTGAAAGTTTATTAGTGCACTTGAAACTGCATTTCACTCAAATAATTTGACTAAAACATATTCGAAGAAGTAAAGAGCACTGAGTTGATGAAAATATTTGACTCCGTGACAGACTATTATCCGATAAATTTTCTTTCCACTGGCGTCTGAAATGTTGGAAATAGACTTTTTAATTTTAATTGATTAATTCAAAAAGCATTTGCCAAGTTCTTACTGAATGTCAAGAATAGTACTAGATGATGGAGAGATGGTCATAAAAAAGACAGAGCTCCCATCTCACAGTGAAGGAAGTGATTAGACAAGTCTGCAAACAATTACAGTATACTGGGGTAAACGTTGTAATTGAACGTTGTGTGAGATACAGTGGAAGCAAGAGGTAGGAACATTTAACTGTTGTCAGGCAAGAAATGTTGTATTAAATTTGTGCCATTTAGGCCGGGTGCGGTGGCTCACGCCTGTAATCCTAGCACTTTGGGAGGCCGAGGCGGGCGGATTGTTTGAGCTCAGGAGTTCGAGACCAGCCTGAGCAAGAGCGAGACCCCGTCTCTACTAAAAATAGAAAGAAATTAATCGGACAACTAAAAATACATAGAAAAAATCAGCCGGGCATGGTGGCGCATGCCTGTAGTCCCAGCTACTCAGGAGGCTGAGGCAGAAGGATCGCTTGAGCCCAGGAGTTTGATTGCTGTGAGCTAGGATGACGCCACGGCACTCTAGCCCAGGCAACACAGACTCTGTCTCAAAAATAAATAAATAAATAAATAAATAAATAAATAAATTTGTGCCATTTAAGATGAAACCTGAAGAATAAGTTGATATTTGCTAGGACACAAACAGTAATAGGGCATTCCAGAGAGAAAAACATTACATGGAAAGTTGTATTTCAATACCATGGTCCTTTAAAGGACTGTTTTTCATTTTCGGAAGAGTGAGGTGTATATGTACAGTAAGAGATGAGTCAGGTAAATAGGGGCTAGAAAATGACTTTGTGGGCCTCAGAAGTTTATTCTATAGTTTATTCTAATGGTCAAAGGGATGCTATTTAGTTTTAAGCAGCAGTTATGTGACTGGATGTGTGTTTTTCAGAAAATTCACATGCTAATAGATTATAGAAATGCAAGCTCAATTGGGAGACTTACAATAATAAGCAATTCAGGTACAAGTGAGATGATCTTGATCTTGTAGGTGAAGTGGGATTCAAGAGGAAGAGTGAGATTGGAGAGGCTATGAGAATCAAGAGGATTAAGTGTGGCAGATTGTTGTAGTTATGACCCCATCTCCTCCCACTACCCACACCAATTTTTTTTCTTTTTTAAAAAATTTATTTGTGAATGCTCATGGGGTACAAGTGCAATTTTGCTTCATTGATATATTGCCTTGCAGTGAAGTCAGGCCCTTCAGTGCATCCATCACTGGAGCACACTGGAGCAATACACATTGCACCAAGCAACCTCCCATCATTCGCGCCCCCCACACCCCTCTGAGTCTCCATTGTCTATCATTCCACACTATCTTTCCATGTGTACACATTATTTAGCCCCCACTTACAAGCGAGAACATGGGGTATTTGGTATTTGTCTTTCTATGTCTGAGCGGTTTCATTAAAGATAGTGGCTTCCAGTTCCATCCGTGTTGCTGCAAACGACGTGATTTGATTTCATTCCACACCAATTTTTTTTACACTTACTTGTATCCATACCCTTGGATAATTTCCTCCAACACTGATTTTCGTGACTGACTTTCACCCTTGGGATACTAGCAAGTGTAATATTAGTAGAGGCTTGAAAAATTCTTGTACATTGGTACTTAACACTCATTGCTGGCAACCCTTTTGCCACCGTGGATTAAATCACGGTTAACCTAGAAGATAACGGACCACTTGGAGAGTGGCCCCGGCTGTCTCAGCCTTCCCAGGTATCTCAGCCTTCTCAGTTGAGGCCCCAAATTTATGTGTGAGGCCATCCTAGATCATCCAGTTCCAACTGTGATAGTTCAGAAGAATCAGCCAGTCAACACACAGAATTACAGGAAATAAAAAATATTTTGTATTAATCCTCTAGCTTTGGGGCAGTTTGTTTCATAATAAAAATTAATTGATACCCTAACTGGCCAATTAGGGTGGGGAAGAGGAAGAGTCTAAGATGAATTTCCTTTTTTAGCATGAGTAGATGGATAAATGAATATTGGAAAGCGACAAATATTAGAATAAGTAAATTAGTGGTGTTACCAAATAGAATAGGGAATTTTTTAAAGACCATATTTAGAGGGATAATAATGAATTCAGCTTGGAAATTCTGAGTCTTAGGAGTTCCTGAGACATGCAGGTAAAGATATCCAGTTGGCAGTTTGATATAAGGATCTGAAGACAGATAATTTGGAGTAAAAGCTGTGGCTTTGAATGACATTGTCCGTTTCTGATTTATTAGTTTTCAAAACTTTTTTTGTAGATTCTTTGTAGACATGTTATAGACAACAAAGAGAAACAGCTTCTTCCTTTCTGATCCCTATGCCTTTTATTTCTTGCTGTATTGTGTTAACTAGAACTGCTATTACCATGTTGAATAGGAAAGGTGGTAGTAGACATCCTTGCCGTGTTCCTGATTTTAAGGGGAAAATATTCAGTCTTTTACCATTAAGTATGTTAGCCGTAGTTTTTTCTTTTTTAAGTGTCATCTGTCAGGTTAAGTAAATTCCCTTCTATTCCTAGTTTGCTGAGAATCTTTTTTTGCAGGGGGTTGGGGGGCTGCTAGCCAAGTGAAGCAGTGGGAGTGGAGAAGGAACAAAGGAATCTGTAACTAATTGATCAATTAGTTATAAACACCAATACACTCCAACGAGACTGCTGTGAATTTTTATCATAAATGGATATTCAGTTTTGACAATTACCTTTTCTGCCTTTATTGAAAAATCATACGATTTTTCTTTAGTCTGTTGACATGGTGAATTTTATTAATTAATTTTTAAATGTTGAACAGCCCTACATTTCCAGGCTAAATCCCACTGAATTGTACCATATTATCCTTTTTATATGTTGCATTCAATCTACTAATATTTTGTGGAGGACTTTTGCATCTATCTTCGTGGAAGATATTGATTTTCTTATAATATCTGTATCGGTTTTGGTGTCAGAGTAATGCTGTTTTGAATTGGGAATTGTTTCCTCTCCTGTTTTTGGAAGAGATTGTGTAGAATTGGTATTGTTTTGTACTCAAATGTATGGTAGAATTTGCCAGTGAAGCCATCTGGCCTAGAAATTTTTTAATGGAAAAGTTTTAAACTATAAATTTGTTTCTCTAAAATAGTTATAGGATTATTCGGTTTATATATTTC